GCTCTTACGTACGTGAAGAACGTATCGGAAGCCGTCATTGGTCCTCTCACTCTACTTGGAGTTGGGGTTGCACACAGGCCTGAAGCAACCACAAGGCGCCAAGTCATGAGGCCGAAAGACCCAAAGCCACGGCGGGAAACGTCTGGAGTCGTTTACCGGATCTGGTGCAGTTGCGGACAAAGGAACTATGTCGGAGAAACTGGGAGATTACTCCGTACGCGAATTGCCGAACACGCAACAGCAGTGAGGCTAGGAGATGCTAGCTCTCGGGTGGCGGTTCATTCGACGGGACGCGGCCATATTTTAGTCTCAAGAGGTTGAACTCCTCGCAAGGGGTGACGATCGCGTGAGCAATGAGCTGCTCGAGTCATGGTCCTCAGGCCCGGAATCCATCGGCAGGCGCAATGACCTCCCGTTACCGTATTCCGTGCTGAGATTTTCTATGGGCGGAAGAATCAGTCACGTGGGGAGGGCGCGGGCGAGCAATCGCCACACCAGAATCCAACACGGATGGCGAAATCGCGGCAACTTACGATTCGGACTCGGACTGGCAAGCCACCATCGCATCAATTACGACCCCAGCGGTGATTTCGAGAGCTGTTAATTACAGTACGCATATGGTCCCATGGTGGCCACGTACTATAAATACTGCAATCCTTGTGCCACCGTTACTCTGGCTAGCCGCTGGCCTACCCAACTACACTCCGAAAACCCCACCTCAGTGTATGTCATAACTGACGCCTACTGTTCGATGTGCGACTAGATTTCGAGCAGAATAAGAAATACTGATGGATAGACTTGCAGGACTGACGTTTGATGGCTTATACTCTAGGCAACCGATAAGTCGCTACTTTCTGCAGGACAGTTTATGCTTGTTCCATATCGAGAGGAGTAATTATGTTGCGACCAGAGTCCTTGTAGAAAGGGATATATTTGCGATTTTATTAGTTATTGCGAATATGTAAACTAGATTTTGTGGGGTTGTGAGCATTCTAATGGAAGGATTCATTTGTTCCTTTATCCCCGCTTGTCCCCACCGTAGACTTCTGAGCCAAACCACTTTTCAAGATTGTTGTCCGTGTATTTAGTTTTCCAGGGGAAAAAAGACGTCATCAAGCTAATTTTAGAACATAATCCGTAGTTACTGATGCTGCTGCTCCCCCTCCCCCTTCCCCTACTCCTCCTCCTCCTCCT